ATATATATATATGATATATAGGAACCAAGAGCTACTTGGGGCAAACACCAAACCATTCCATGCAAATCCCGGTCACCGCCTGTCCTTTCTTCCTCTGTTTGTGACCTTGGTGCTGTGCCGTGGGTCAGACACGTCCTCAAGCGCGGGGTCCCGGAGCCGAGCACTGACGGAGACAGGAGCTAATCTCGGCCGGGAGGTCACACGCTTGCCGGTCGAGAAGTGCTGCTGCTTTCTGGCGTGCAAAATCATCCCGGGGGTGTCATGCTGAATTTGCACAGGGTGTTTCGTTCCTGGAAGGCATGGGGGATATCTGCCCGCACCTCGGTGCCCACCGTGGCTTGCCAAAAATTAGAGCGGCTGTAGGGTGATGGGATCATTCCGGCTCCCTGCAACAGCCCAGGGAGCTTGCATTTTCCTTTTCGTCCAACACAACCCCCTCTTGGGGTCTTGCAGACCATGCTATAACACTTTCCCAACCCGCCTGTTTCCCTCTTTTTTTTTTCCCCCCAGGTTAGTGTTTATGCTGCCCCATTTTTCTCCATTACCTTTTCCTGCCCTCCACACAGCATCTCTGCACGGGTTGGCTGCAGAGAGCACTCGTACCCCGTATTAATCATGCTAATTGTCCCCCCAAGGAAAACTGAGTAGATATTTCAAGGTAGAAGGGGAAAGAAGTAGTCCCTGCTCTAACAGCACAGCTCTTGTCTCTGCAAATCCCTTGATTTCTAAAGTTAGGGTCCAGTGTGGCCTGGACCAATGTCCAGCCGACAGAACTGTGCTTGTGAGTTGCTCGTATTTTGGCTGTAACTGTTTGCTGTCTTTGCCCGCAGAGCATTTAATTACACACTTCAGTAATTTTAGCATATGGCATGATTAATGAGTAATTTAAGTGATTCCTCATGTTGTCGGGACTCTAACCAGTTGCATTTATAAAATCCTCTATACACAAGCAGGAACACACTCGGGTGAATTATTTAGGGTTGTGCCTTTTCTTATATTCCCTTTAAATTGTAGCCAGAGGTGTCACCGTTGCAGCATGTGGCTGCTTTTTAAAGAAAAATCTCTGTTCTTGCGCAGTGAAGTTATTGCAGAGGGCAGCTCCCACCGCCGGCCGGGCTGCGGCTCCCCGGGGGCAGCCCGGAGGTGGCTGTGGGAAGATGCTGGAGCCACTCGCGCATCCCTCGCTTACTTGGAGGTCGTGCGAAGCCGGAAAAAAACTCGATCTCATTCCCAGTCGCTGGATTGCAGCCCCTCGATTCCCACAGCAACCGGTCGGGAGGGTTAACGGCACGGATTGACCCTGCCTGCGGTAGGAGCAGGGAGGAGCAGGCAGGAGGAGAGGAGCGGGACGGTGGATGGGATGGGCAGCCCTCACCCGAAGGGTGGCCTGGAAGACTGCCCGGGAGCAGCTGCTGGCAGGCGGCGCCGGCCTGAAGGGCCAGCTTTGATCTGCAATTAAAGACCAGAGAAAGAGAAAGTAAAACTTCACTTTTTTTTTTTTTTTTTGGAGCGGCAGGGGTTTGTGCTGCCTGCCTGCCCGGCAGTGGGGCGCGGAGGTTGGGATGGGGTGCTGCCTGCGGGGCTCCCGTGTGTGCCCCTCTCCTCTCGTCGTCCCGCTGGGGAGATATTTCTGCCCAGCAGACTGCCCGTGAAATACACAAATGCAATTTGATGTGGCTGCAGTCAACACTGTATGGGTGTGGGTGGGAGTAACGTCATTGGAAAGTGGGATTTGGGGAGACAGGAGATGTGGCTGCGCTGCAGAGCTCCCGCTAACCCATCATCCTATATAACAACGAGCAGAAAAATCCTCTTCTCCTCCACAACGGTTGCATTGCAGAGCTCCCGCTAACCCATCATCCTACGAGCAGAAAAATCCTCTTTTCCTCCACACCGGCTTCATTTGATTCCAGGACAGCGGACGCCTTGCATCTGCTCATGCCCTGCAGCTGCTTCTTTACAGCACCCCCTTTCTCCTGCTGCCGCCTGTATTTTTTTTTCCGTGTGTCCTGGGAGCAGTAAGGGACTCCAGGCAGGATCAGCTGCTGCTTTGTGGGCACGTGGGAGAGGAAAAACAAACAGCGAGATGCAAGTGTGAAGGTTTTTTCCCATGCCTCGGCGTTTCCTGCCCCGGCGATGCTGCTTCTCGGGGGAAGCAGCGTATGTTGCAGAGCCGCAGGGCGAGGGGAGATGCTGTGATGGGGTGAAAGCTTGCATCCTTCTCCTCTTCTTCTGGCTGTGAAGATTTGGGGTCTACGCTGCCCTCCAGCCTGAGCAGAGGAGCAGGGATCATTGCAGTTGGTGCTGGTGGGAGCTGGGAGCACCGGGAGGAGGATGTGCTGCCGGAGCTGGGAGGAGGCAA